TAAACGGGGTATGTGCCTTTCAATTCTTTTCTTTCCATCATGAGCCATTGTGTAGGGTTAACTGTGGTAAAGTGCTGCTTCCTGATGTCATGTGTTTAAGTGTTTGTCCCCTTTTCTCACTCGTAGGGCTCCTTGGTAATGGCCAGTCTAAGGGATTAGGACCAGCATCAGAACAGTCAGAGAATGAGAAGGATGATGCATCCCAAGTGTCCTCTACTAGCAACGATGTTAGTTCTTCAGATTTTGAAGAAGGGCCGTCGAGGAAAAGGTTAGTACCCAAGGCTGAAAGTATTGGTGCCTTAAACCAGGGACTGCAAACTAGGTGCCAGTTTTTTGCCACATGGGAACAAACATGGGCCTAGCCTGCTGATTTTTCATAGAAGAGTCAGAGCTCTGAATTTTTATATTAAATGTCCTGGTTTCAAAATATTGTCCACTAATAATTATAACTAAAAATAAGTACACAAAAAATGATATGGGCCAAAGAAAACATCTTCCTTCCATAAAAATTGGCCAGAGTCATCAATTTGTAATTCCTATCTTAACTGTTCATTTTCACGAATTTTCATCAGTAGTAGTTCTTGAGTATATTGGTATTTAGCCGTTCCTGAAGAGAAATGTTTCTAAGAATTTGAAGAATTAAATGTGGTGTTTCTGAAATATTTCCCCCCCTCATCAGGAAAGCAAAATCCATGTGGTGTTTAACCCCAGGTTAGTAGTTGTGGAACTGGTTCTTAAAACTTTTAATTTACCATCAAGTTGTTTTTCTTTTTTTTAAAATGACGTTCTTAAATAAACTTAAGATAGTTGGATAAGGAAGTTGGCCGTGGTAGTTAAGAGTTTGTGGTTTCATGGTCAAACAGTGGCGGTGACATTATATAATAATGCTTTATTGGGTGTTTTAAAAACCCTTTGTTAGTTATCTGCTTTAGTTCATATCTCATGTGTTGTTCCCCCCCCCCATTTACAATTTATAATTCATTTTGTTCCTTTTCTGTTTTCATACTTGATGTTTTCCTGGATGTGACTAGATTAATGACATTTTCTTAGAATCTGCTAGTTTGAGAGGTTGGGGAAAAAGGAAAAAAAATTTCCCCGGTCTGGTCTACTTTGTTTACTCTAGTTACTTTTTGGAAACTATCTGGATGTTTATATTTAATGAAGAACTGAGTATGGTGGAAAATCAAAGGGAAAGGACAAGATTAGCCATGTGTAGATATTTGAAATCCTTAACAGAACTATACTTTAGATCTGAAATTTGAGATGTATCATCCCAAGTCGTATTTTATTTTTCACCATCATGGAGTGTCTTTGTTTAAAAAACTCCATGATACAGAATCTGTATTAACTTCTACCTTCATTTTCTCTCTTTTTAAAAAAATATGTTTTTATTGATTTTTAGAGAGAGAGGGGAAGGGAGAGGCCTAGAGAGACAGAAACATCGATGAGAGAGAAACATCGTCAATCGGCTGCCTCCTGTATGCCCACTACTGGGGATTGAGCCCCCAAACCAGGAATGTGCCCTGGCGGGGAATTGAACCTGTGACCTTTGGGTTCGTGGGTTGACGCTCAACCACTGAGCAACACTGGCTGGGCCATCCTCATTTTCTCTTAATCCTCAGCACTGTGTCTTGGATGTCACTGGATTTGTTGTTAGCAGTTAGCAAGTATATATAAAAAGTATCTCTGCCAGTGTACTGGGCATTGTATGCAACTCTTTTTAAAGACACTTTGGTGAGTGTCTCAGTGACAAGCCTATTATGTTTCAGGTACTCTGTAAAAAATATTCACTCTGCCCCATTTTGAGAACTGCATCATCACAAGAGAGGGAGCTCAGGATGTGCTAAACCACACCAGTAAATATGATGGAATGTGTAATGTTACCCATGCTTCCAAACATGGGTGGATAGTCATGCATCTGGCATCATCTTTCATCTCCATTTGGGGAGCAAAAGTCTATGAATGTGTGGTTGGAAGTGACAGCACCAAGTTCTTTAGCTGTATTGTGGAGCTGTCCATCACCCTCACCTTTGGTAGGACCCAGGCAGCGTGGGAGTGTGATGACGAAGATCAGTGTAGGCATCATTCTCCTCTCCTTTCGCAGGTGACATGCCGCCGGCTTCCTCTTTGCATGGTACATTGGTGGTGTGTGGCAGCTGTGTGCAAAGCATTTAGCTTTAGTTCTCCAGTCCAGCGGAAAAGAGAAACTTTGTTCAGAGTGAATTTAGGCAGATTTCACTATTGCTAATCTGCTCTAATTATACGTGTGCTAAGCATGTTGTTTTACTGAACTCTGAAGACTCATAGCAAGCATTTTATTTGGTTGTGGTCATACTACTAGTGAAATCCATCAACGACTTACTGTAGATTAAGGGTTGACTGGTCAGGCTAGATTTAGGGCTGGTCTGTGCTAGCCTGTGTTACAGGTGGAGGATTGTGTAATTTACAAACAGGTATTGTAGTTGGGGCATACATTTCACAATGTTGCAAAGTACATAGCAAGTTCAAAATAATAACTTAATACTTTCCTGCTCACTTGTTTTATCCCTCATTGGTAGTTAGTATGAATATTTAGCATAAATAATTTGGTAGGAACCTTATCATCTAAGGCAGAATGTGTGAATTGGAACCTGACTTCTTGGGGCTTTGTTAGTATATTGCAGTGATTTTCAACCTTTTTCATCCCATGGCACACACAAACTAATTACTAAAATTCTGCAGCATGCCAAAAAATATTTTTTACTGATCTGACAAAAAAGGTATAATTTTGATTCATTCACACTAGATGGCTATTGTTGTGTTGGCTGTTGTCATTTTTTAATTTGACATTCTAAGGGAAGAGAGGTCAGTGCCCCTGACTAAGTAGTCAGGTAGTGCATGTTTTAAAGGTTCTTGCTGCATACCGGTTGAAAATTGCTGGTGCGCTGTTCATACCGCAGTGCTTCCCTTTCCTTCACTTTACATATATTATATCTTATCTTATACTTGACTAAGTGTGGCGCCTCTGCTGATGAGTCAAGTTTAGAGTAACTATTTAAAGTGGTTATTTCAAAATGTTTACTTAAAGGGTAGGGTGGATTGTTGACTAGATGCTACTTTTAACCTTGTGTCTGAAATTGCCTAAGCCTCACATATACATGGGAAGAGCATGTTGTCTTATTGACTATTTATTTGCATTCTCTGTGGTCATTTATACAATCACACATTGAGTTGTAAAAATCCAGGGTCATGATTTATATATTTGCTTTGGAAAAAGCAATTTCTAAGTTTTTGGAGTGATATGAATTACTAGCTCTTCTTGTACAGTTAATTACTCTTTCTAGGTACATGGTTTTAGAACCAGCAGTTAATATATGCCGTTTGTCTTGGTGGGGAGGGGGAAAGAAAGGAATTTATGTGTGTGACTTCCTTAAGAAAAATTAAAGTCTGAGGTGTAGATTATTCCAGTCTTATTAGTTCAACCTTGCCCTGAATTTCCAACCTATAAATTGAAACAATTCCATTTTTTGATGATGAACGTCCTATGTGTTTACAAAGTGTTATTTTTCTACAGGAAACCCCCTAAGCTATGTTTGCCCTAAGTACTTGATGCCATTGGTTTTAAATGAAGTTGGGAAACTTTTTGGCACATAGAAAGCAGTAGAATCCAGAGTTTATGGGATTTATTTTTCTTTACTGAATTAAAAATAAAAGGTATCATTTTTCCTAGCCATTAAAAGGTCATCATCTAAAGACACTCTTTGAAAAAGGAAAAGCCACCCTCTCTCTAGAAGTTCTGCCTCTTTGATGGACAGAGCTGCCCAGCCATTGACGAGCTAAGGAACTTGGTGTGGTGGGAGTTGCTGGGTGTTGGTTTTCCTTTTCTTTTTTTATCATTTATGGCAGGTGTTTAAAATAATTTTTATAATGTAGTTTTTACTGTTGAGAATGGAAACTGTAGACTTTCAGCCTTTAATAGGCCTCTTCTGAATTTGATGGTGGCCATGTGTAGCTCCTTACCCTCTTTTCTACCTTATATTGCCCATCCCATTACACTTGATTGTTTTAAAATTTGCATTTCCTGCAGGAAGCATCCGAGTATTTTCAGGAATCAGAGTGGACAGGTTTTGTCTGTCAGGTGTGGACTGACCATGAGAAACTCTGGAATGGTTGTTATGGGGATATAGGCTATCTGCTTGGAAAGGAAGGTGTTGTACGAAGAAGTTGGTGATGGCATATTTTTAGGTATAAGTATATGGAAGATCCAAAATGCATGGTCCACAAAGGGTCATTTGAATTGACCACTCATGTACATAGTAAAATTAACTATATATATTTAATTTTGGGGTTGGTGGAGGGATTAAACAGGAAAAATGTAAAGAGAGTGGTTGTTCTTAGGGCCATGTCATGGCGACCTTGTATGTGGCACAGTGGTTAAGAGTGTGGACTGGAGCCAGACATTGTGGTTCAACCATCTGCTTGTCATGTACTCTTGGGCAGGTCTGTAACATCACTCACTGGACCTCAGTTTTCTCACCTGTGCAATGTCGATGACAATAGTAACCACCTCATGGTGGTTTTGTGTGCTAAACAAGTTAATTCATGAAGATCACTCCGGTGTATAATGAGGACTGTGTGCTAGATGTTATAGCTGTCATCAGTGTATGTGGCACATGAATTGCTACATGTGAATATGTACATTCATCGGAGACTTTTCAAATGTGGTTTACAGGGGTTTTGATTTTTGTATAAATTGTGATTTCTATCTTCCTTCCATGGCACCACCGTCAGCAGCTATCTGTGGGCAGATGGAACAGTGTGGGCGCTTGTCCCTTTTTTGAAGTTACTGAGTCACAGGAAGGATCTTTGTGGTTGTATAGCGCAAAATTTCCTTCTCAAAGCTTGGTGTGACCAGGTATTTGCTTGCATGGAGCAGGCAGAAGTGAGATGAGGCTGAGGTCTGTGAGGTGTTGGTGAGCAGATTCCATCTTGGCTATTTACAGGTTAGTCATTGCTTCACCTGGGGGGAAGCCCCTAGTTTGCCAGTACTTAACGCTAAGATCTCTGACACACTTTTAAAAACAAACTCCAAGGGAGTAAGAAGTGCAGACTGTGCCTCTGCAAAGACATAACTGTTTTTCTTTCCGTTAAATAAAAGAGCTGCTGTATTTTAGCTAGGCCTTTGATAGTAGAAGACTTTTACTAAGTTCAAAGGTAGTCCTCTTCTAATAGACTGGATTTAGGATGTGAATTTTTTTCAGGGTGAGGATGCCATGACTTAGAGCAGTT